GGTAATCGATATTTTATTATAAATAGATACAGAGTCTCGTCTCATATTAATTTTTACATTATATTTAATCCCATCTTCTTTGTGACACTTTTGACGATATTTTGTGGTAATGTTTCAATATTGACAACTCAATGTAGTTCTGTTTCGTGTATCTGTATGTTAAATGTATGAAAATCATAAAAATAAAGATTACAAAATTATTATGTTATGTACGTCTTACAGATCAATTGATTAATCACTACCACTGGCAGCAATTAAATAGATTTTATATTTGTATGTTTTACTTTGAAACTTATTTACAATAAAGAATGTGAAATGTGTCAAAGTATAATATAGTTTAGTAAATACTATAATGTACTATAACTAGAATGTCTGCATTTGCGTATGATATCTCTTTTGTGACGTGAATCAATTTTAATTATAAACTTAGTAATTTAAATGTAACAATGGCATTCGTTACATAGACACGTTGAACGGAGCGTTAAGTATTGGACACCCTCCTCAACTGTAACATTCAAGAACATGTAGATTTATAAATAGGCATTGTAGCAATAGGCCCATATAACAAGTCAATAACATATTCTGTTGTGTTTGATAATGTTCCTCTTTTTTTTATATTTTCCATTTGTAATTCACACACATTGCACATGTCATCAATAAATAGTAGTACTTTTCATTTGGTCTTCTATCATATAGAGTACAATTTTAAATAACAAACACAGTTCTCACTTTCCATAAGAGCTACTCTTATTCATATCCAATGAGCACTAAAATCATTGTATTAAAAGTGTAATTTCATTTGTGTAGCAAGCATATATAAAACAAAGAAATTCACAAAACATACAAGTGTGTAAAATTTGTTTCATTTAGGAGTTTACCTCCTCTACATTCTCCAATCACATCTTATCATCGGTTAATTCGAGGAACTGTGCATAAAAATCTCTCGTGCATTCACCTTTATTATTGAACACAAACTTGTAATAACTACCATCTGCACATATTACTGTAAGATAAAACAGAAATTTTTACAAATTTAAGAAATTAATTAACGAAGCATGGCTAATAGTAACTTATTATACTGTATTACTAACCTATAATACTATTGTTATCAGTACCAAATGCACACATACATTGTGGACCACCTGGAACTTGAAATTTGCAGAAGCTCCAACTTGAACTAAAATATTTTGGCAGGAAAGTGGCAGATGCTAAACTAGATTGACGATTTAATTTTTGATCTTCTACAGCGAAAACATGTACAGTTCCGTGATCACTTGCTACACACAGCCAGGTAGAATCATGATTAAAATTAATGCTGAAATTATTAATTTCATTAGTTAGTTATTTCAATAAGGTGATATTTTATATCAATCTGTTTTTATTTACCAATAAATGTTTGCATGATTAGCCCCTCTTCTCAATTCATTAATCATATTTCCACTTTGCGTTTCAAAAACTCTTATCAAAGTACCCTTCTCTGATGCAGTAGCCAATCTGGTACCTTGTAAGTTTAAAGCTATACAAGATAAAGGTGTTTCGTGTGCATCTATATTTAAAGGCTGTTTTTCTGTATTAGCCAAATCTATTACTATAACAAGAAAAAGAAATTATTATATACAGTAAAATTAAAAGTACAATGGAAATTTCTTATTCAGAATTTTACCTTGTACGTGCCCATTTTTCCTACCAGGGAAAGCAAGTAAGGAATTACTACTATTTGGGCATAATACGCATAATCCTCTGGGATTTGGATTAGTCTCAAAAACATGAAGTTGCTGAGGATTTGGCGTGAATGTATAAACTTTTATAACACCTTCTAAAATTACTACTATTCTATCTCTTCTCAGTTTAACACCTTTCACGGGAGCATTAAATTCTAAAGTGATCGCTGGAGACTTCTTTAAATCGTCCCATATTATAACTACAAATATGATAATAAGATAAAAAAATTAATTCTTCGTAGATATTTAAAACATTAAAATCACATAAAACTGTACCTTTATTGGTTGGATACATTGGCTTTGCTCCACTGCCAACTAATGCTAAATAATTACACCTAAATAGCATTTCTACATAACCAAAGCCTCCATCACTGAAATGACGTGCCTTCTCTTTTAAAGGGTCACAACCATATACTCTGAAGCCATTTTCCATACCACAAGCAAAACATCCTATAAGTGGAAAATTATGAAAGCAATAATGATATGCTTATCTGCTCGTGCAATATATATTTCCTTTGTGATCTCCATGCAGTATTTGAATGTTCCTTACTTAACATATGTATTAATACAAACACACATAAAACTAAAGAGATAAACCAATACAGTTGGATAAACACAATTATCTTGAAATTCTCAATACAATAATGTTATAACAAACAATATGTGTTAAAGAAAAAATTATGGTATAACAAATAAAGTCACTTCAATAATTTCAGTAAAATTTGTACAATACTGGTCACATTTATTTATTTCAACATACAAAAATACAAAATTACTGTTAATAGATTAAAAATATGTGCCAGTATATAGTTCACGCATATAATTATAAAAATGATTGAAATTATAAACAGATAACATAGATTATTTTAACATAAATTCGTGTAAGAAGTCTTGCATATATTGATTATTAGATATTTTCGAAAATCTTGCATAAATAAGGTTAGAACGTAAAAAATTGTATTAATAATTCAATTTTCAATTTCTGGTCATCAAACGTTACACGATAAAAACATATTTTTCAATATCAAAACGATATAAGTAATATAAAATAATAATATCACAATAAATTTCTGGTAAAATAATTAGACTCAGAGGTTAGAATAGCAAAAATAAATTTGACAGTACGTGACCAGACTGTCAAATGTAGCACACTCGGTCACATACCTTGGTCCTGATTGAAACCAGCAAAGAGCAAATCATTTCCGTGAGGGTTCCCTGTGGTGAGGTTCATTGTAAATTATTTTTTTAACCGCAACATTCGCTCGAACGATCGTTTACTTATGGAATTCTATCACATTTTCGCCGGCAAGCAGTACGAGACACTTTTCGTAACTACGAACTTCCGTTACCATCATAGTGTCTCCACGCATGCGTATTCGACTGTTTTAATCAGCTGATACTACAATCAGGACGCACTTCGTAATTATTCAATAAAGGAAGAATTTATGGTCGGATTCGGTGTTTTGATTTCACGTAGATACTATTTTTTCGTGTTAGCAGTTTTAAATAACAATCAATTATAATGGTGAAAGAACTGTGAAAACAAGATAATGGTCTCATTACTTTTTTTTATTAATGTGTACATATGTGATCCTGAAATCAGAAACTTTTTGTACGAATTGCTTTCTTTAGGTTATATTTGTACTCAGACATGAATGCTTTACGTAGACTGTCGTTAACAGTAAGAGATTTACATACTTGCCCTATATTATTTCAAGAAAAAGCACATTCTTTAAAAGGAAAGAAACACAGTTCTCAGTTATGGCTTAGTAGACAAATAAAAGATCCTTATGTAGAAAGGGCGAAACAAGAGAACTATAGATGCAGAAGTGCTTTCAAGTTGTTAGAGATAGATGAAAGGTTTAATCTATTGAAGCCTGGACACATTGTGATCGATTGTGGTGCTGCACCAGGCAGTTGGACACAAGTTGCTGTCAAAAAGACAAATGCGGATGGAAAAACTAATGATCCGATGGGAACTGTATTGGCAATAGACAAATTGTCAATATATCCAATTGAAGGTGCAAGTATATTGAGCAGAATGGATTTTACTAATTCTTTGTCACAAATAGAACTTTTAAAGTTATTGAACAATAAAAAAGCTGATATAGTTTTGTCAGATATGGCACCTAATGCAACTGGTGTAAAACATTTAGATCATGAGAATATAATAAAGCTTGTGTATAGTGCTATGAGATTCGCTATGCAAGTTACAAAAACAGGTGGATTATTCCTTTGTAAATTATGGGATGGTGAGATGTCACAACAGCTACAGAAAGATTTACTAAGATTTTATAAAACTGTTAAAATCATCAGACCTCAAGCTACACGAAGTGAGTCTGCGGAACAGTTTTTCTTAGCTAAGGATTTCAGAGGAATAAAAAGTACAGCCAGCAGTACAATGTAACATGCAATTTCATTAACAATTAAAGTTATGTACAATAAAAAATGTTTAATGGATAAAGTGATTTATAATACAATCATGTATCATGCCTGGACAGGTTGTAAATAATAACAAAGCACGTGTATTTTGGTATAAGACCAACATCAAATGATTTTTATAACTTTTCTTTCATTTGCGATCTAACAGACTCCTACACGATACGACAAGTATAATATACATCAATATATTTAGCTATAAATAATACAATAATATTTAATACAGTTACAATTAATACACATTAAGACGCTGGTGACGCTTCTTAATTACTCTGTATATACAAGTCCCTTTAATAAAATTAATATGTACACGAATTAACATTCAGTAGATGAGAAAGGAGAGATTACACACCACATCGAAGCGTACGCAGAGCAATTAAAATTACTGGCCGCGACGTCAGATTCGTATAATTCCTTTTCTTAATTGTACGTGATACAACCACGTAGAAAATTTCATCTCGTATGAAAGTCCGGGAAGTGTTCCGCGTTTCATGGATCCCGATTATTCGTATCGCATGCATTCTCTCGCGTATTCTCAGAAACAGGTCTCGCATGCGTTAAAGGAGAAAAAATGATCGCTACGATAGAGATGTAAAGCTTAATGACATCGGAGGCCCTGACTACTCCGAGCCTTAGTTTTGGAGTAATTACGTAGAACAATGATCAATTCGCACATCGAAAACATTCATACTATGTATATAAATACGTGATTCTGCTACACAACGTAGCTGCAAGCTTAGACTCGATTACGCCTGAGAGGCATAAAATCATAAAGTTGTACGTGTTTGAGAAAATAACGCTTCTAATAAATATTAGACCGATGCACATGAAATGCTGATTTTCGTGTAGTTATCAAAATTGCATGATATTCACATTGCGTTAGGAAAAATGTCTCGCTTGATACTTTGACGGTCGTAAATCCTGTATCTTTTCTGAGCGACTTAATTAT